CAATTGTGTCTTAAAGAGTTGCGCGCAATTAAGCATGATAGAAATCACTTACAATTAATGCAGGATGGTAGAAAATCACTTACAATTAATGCATCAAGTTTGGAGACTTGAATTGAAATTGAAATTGAAATAAGTTTATTGAGGTAAAATACACACAAATGGATGAGGTAGCTCAAGCTATTCTCACCCCGTTCAGTATATCGTGTTAATACATACATAGACACACACACTTGTACACATTTTAGTGTAACAAGCAAGGCAAATAGTTCTGTCTGATGGGTAGAGGCAACTGCACTTGCAGCTGCACCCGTGTGGCGGTGTAGGAAACCATCAATGTATATGATTTGAGAGAGAGAGAGAGAGAGAATGATCTTTGGACAGAGCATCAATATGGCGTAAGGTATTGGGCTTTGCCTCAAGATGAAGCATAATAAAGAACCCGAATATCAGGAGAAAAAATTACATTAAAAACTGTCCACATGATACATATATATAATCATGTTTTAAACATTTTAATTGTATTATTTGCATATATATATATAATTAGGAAGTAATGTTTATCTGGGTAAGTTGTCAGCTTTTATGAACTAATAGCTAGTGCGGCTTGTATATGGGGTACATCCGGTCTCTTACCCTCGACTGCGGCGGTAACTTTATGGTCAGGAAGCCAAAAATATTTATAGTTCAAGTTCAAGTATGTTTATTGAGACAAGAAAAAAATACATCTCAAAGGAATAGAGTAACTTAGGCTATTTCTACCCCCTCTACTTCAAGTCCCTCAAGGGGCGCACAAATTCAGTAAGTACAAATAGACAATTAACATTACAAGAATCCCATTTAACATTGCAGGTTAATATAGTAAGTACAGCATACAATTGTTACACTCTTGGGGCAAAATTTTTGTAGCTCCTAAGTATACTGTCTATCATACCATTATCACACATACAAACAATTTGATGTGGTACATTACTTATTTCCTTATTTCTATAGTTATCAATAAGTTGACACTATAATACATAATGTTCTAAGGTGTGGGCGTGCGGCATACTACATAATTTACACTCCTTATCTTTTTCACTGACATCAACTCCGTATTGCCAGATATATTTGTATCCTAATCTTAATCTCATGTAAATTGAATCCTTCCAAGTTGACTTTCCTTTATCATAGGTGAAGGACGAGTTTGTATTTATTACTGAATAATTCTTAAGTGTGTTACTACTATCCACTATTGCCATTCTTTTTATCATTTCTTCATCTTCATTTCCTCTTATTATTCCTCTTACATCTGTCTTCATTCTGAAATAAAAACCTTTGACGTTACTTTGCATATATGTACATTAATTATAAAATTGATTGGCTTGTGTGCAGGCCTTCACACTCCCTGAGCGAGCCATCAAGTAACTATAAAAAGGCATATATCTTCACTTTCACTTCAGTTATATTTATACCAAAGTATTAACATGCAGCTTATATGTCTTTCTGATGACATAAAAAACTTCGTTTTTTATAATATATAGATTCAATTAACATTGATTTTCAAAAGGTCATAGTTCCCATCGAAAGGGAGAGCGTCGGCCAAGAAGCCTTGTTTAAAATATGAATATTTTTCCTCTCTAATAAGGTATAATCTCTGTGATGCATTAACACAAACTATTTTATATCTGCCTTTCTGATAACATATATAAATATAATCTTTATTTGTGAATATTTGTTAATTAAGCAATATATCAGAGAGCGTGTAGGGTTCGGTGTTCTATGAACGAAAAGGACTGGAGTAGTTTAAATAGCGAACGCATACCAACGAATAACGCTAGTATCTATATAACAAATTTATTGTCATGTGGAATTGATTTAACTTCCAGACACTTTTTTTTAATAAATATTAAATATTTTGTGGCTGTTTATGAAAAATATTATTATAAATACACATTCTACTTGTTAATATTACCAATTAAATTTGCGACAATTTGAGCCATGAAATACGACGACTGGATCACTGTGTACAGGAGGCTGTTATGGCAGCAAACACTCTCCAGGCGACCATATATCTTGGATAAGTCGCTCCACACAATTGTCGCTTGGACCGTCGACTTCCTATGGCGTCACCTCTCACATATTTACGTCTCATTTCGTTATGAAATTAGATTATTTCAGAGAAAAAATAGGTTTGATCATGTTCTACGTGTAGCACCAACATTATAGTAAGTAAATATACCATATTTCTTCATTACTTACGTAATGCTAATACGTTTTGGGTAGTTTTGGCCTGATTTGGGATGATTGGGGTAATTCTATGGACCCGTCTATGGTATGTTGTTGTCGGGTGACTGTGTCTTGGAGGGCCAAAATAGCTTCTGATTGCATTTTCACAAGGTTGTGCAGTTTCTGGAGCCATGGATTACTTCGGAGAGGTTTGAAGTTTAAACAGGGAGCCATAGATTGAGTGAATTCTAAAGCTAGAGATCCGAGGTGAGTTGAAGGGGGGGAGTGAGGAGGGGGAGCAGATGCTGTGTTTACAAACATCGGCGAGGGTTGCGGCGTTGCCAGTGTTTCATTCAGAGCTCTAGGAGTAATGGAACCAGAGCGAGAGGCACCCCTACCTTGCTTGTTGTTATGTTTGGGCATGTTTTCGACGAATAGATTCTTGGTAGCGTTTCTAATGGTAGATACTTGGTAAATTATAGTAGGGATGACTAGCGTATTGGGAACACTTGGCAGAAGGGTCGTAGAAAGGCAGGCGAAAATTGGTTAATTTTGGTTGATTTCTGTTGAGGTTCACTGTAAGTTATGTCATATTAAGTCTCCATGCACTTAACTCGTGCTAGGCAGCAGTTAGGCCATGCAACGTTGAGTGGAGACGAAATTAAACACGAAATTTCAGCAGCTGTGACGGAGCCGGTACCACCGCCAGCGTTTCCCGCCGCCGTGGGACATGGTTGACAGGAATATTAACAATGCATTTGGAGCGAGTATATTATTGGGATAATCTACTCGCTACAAGTTTTTGTGTGCCTCCCACATGCTATTCATACACTAATCTTATGTGACTGTCAATCTAGTCGATACAGCCTTCCACTGTCTACTCTGTACAGCAGCAGCAGCAGAAGTGTAAAGATTCAGATTCAGATTCAGATGTTTATTCAGGTAAGGTATATACATACAAGTGATGTTACATTAATGGATTGATATATAGATAGAGCTAGTACATACAATGCCTAAAGCCACTATTACGCAATGCGTTTCGGGCAAGAAAAACATTAATATCTAGAACTTAATACTAATTGAGCATAAAGAATAAAAAGTGTTGAGAACAAATACAAATAAAGATAAAAAAGGGGGAACATGCCTGAAAAAGCAGAACAAATACAATAGGTTGACAAACAGTGTTGATTAAAAAAAAGAAAATAACAGACATGGGTTGACAATAGAGGAGTGAGGTAGATTACAGGGAATTTATTAGGTAGTGTTTAGTTTTTATCTTAAACTGGTTAAGAGAGGTACAGTCTTTAACAAGGTTGGGAAGGTCATTCCACATTCTGGGCCCCTTGATTTGGAGAGCATTTCTAGTTTGATTAAGACGTACTCTAGGAATATCAAAACTGTATTTATTTCTGGTGTGGTGCTCATGGGTTCTGTTACAACCTTCTATGAAGCTTTTAAGATCAGGATTGGCATTATAGTTTAGCGTTTTATATATGTATAATACACATGAGAGAATGTGCAGTGACTTAATATCTAACATATTCAGAGATTTGAGTAGGGGTACCGAGTGATGTCTGGGGCCAGAGTTGGATATTGTTCTAATAGCAGCTTTGTGTTGGGTAATTAGAGGACGTAAGTGATTTTGGGTAGTAGAACCCCAAGCACAGATACCATAGTTGAGATAAGGATAGATAAGGGAGTAATAGAGAGCAATAGAGAGTAAAGAGCAAAAAGTACCACATTTAGAGCTATATACATCACAGATTTGCTCAAAGCCAATCACAAATTTACCCCTTTCTCAATTTCATCAGGTTGAAAAGCATTGGCTCTTGAGTAAGAAACAAAAAAGCTGTGTAATAGTGAAAAGGTTTAACATTTTAAACAAAAAACTATATACAAGCTGTAAATACCTCTTTCATTCATTCATTATAGTACAGTATTACATGTATTATATAGCATCAAAGAAACAACCACACTGCAGCACAACCCTGAAATCATTCGTAACCAAAATAAAACAATTCATAATTACAGTACAGTATTTTAATTTAAATTGCTTAAATTATAAATCTTTGCTAAAATTACACAACTGTGCTCACCCACAGAAGCAGAGATCAATCAATAAACATTCAAATCATCAGAAACTTCTGAACATGGTCCCAATTTAGTAAACACTAAAGTTCATTCAACGGACGTCTGTGCAACAAGAGGCTACAAGCCATCACCAAGCACTAAATGTCTTCAAGAGAACGTTTGATATAAAATTATAAATTACAAACCCTATATAGTACTGCAAGCCAACATGTGTATCAAGTAATGAAGGCTTATTTTAATGAATAAGAGACAATAAGCCTTAGATTTAATGTGCAAATCTTTTGAGCAAATTAGGTTTACAACTGTTACAATTTTAGGACTACAGAATTTGCCAATATTTTGTATATCCTACTAATTCATCAGAATAATGACCATTTCAATCTAAAAATTAATATTAAGAATTATTCCAATGCTTTTAACAGCATTTATAATTTTAAAGCCTTAACTTGCTTTAGGTTTGGGTGGTTTCAAAAATCCAGTTTTTCGTAGATGTCTAACAATAAAAGGAGTGGCGGTAAGTGTTATAGCTATACGTACTGGAGGAAACACCTTATGCACAGCATATGCCACTACAAATGTGGCAGCCCCTGCTGCTCTCGCAGTGTTAAAATCTACGGCACTTACTTTTACACTGTTAGCACTACCAGCTACTTCAGCGGCAACAGCCTCTGCCACGTCTCCCCGTTGAAGACTTTCTGTGGCTGCAACCTCGCCAAGAGCTTCCTCTGGTGCAGTTGCTATGGAGGCCGAAGTTTCACAACCCACAGCAGCAGCAGCTCCCTCGGTCACCCTTCCTATGTTGATGCCTAAACTCTTTATCAACCCCGTCATATCTACTCCACTGAAAATAAAGAAAAAATAAATTAAATAAACAGGTCCAATATTAAGGTCAAGACTAGTACAAACAGCTGCCACCCAGCCTAGCTCCACCGTTAACATGTTCTAACACAATAGATTTTGCACGAAAGGCAGACTAAGTCTATGCTTTGAAGTATGGAGTACAAGGAAAAAAATGGAGAAAATACTGTACATCAAGTATATTAAGAATTTTAATTCATTCTAAATTCTGCTGTTGTAGCCTGTCAGAAAATATTACACACAATCTTGTACACAATGTATTTTATATAGCACTAAGCAGCAGTGTGCCAGTGGAACCACACTGAACCAACAACTCGGCTAACAGACTATTTTAAAGTAGATGGTGAACAAGTGGTTTTACTGATGCTATACATAGAAACTTTTTTTTTTACCAATATCTTTACAAACTGAAATAAAATCAAATTCTTTAGCTTCACTTCATAACATTACACTAAAATTCAACCAATGTGTGTGTCACCCATAAGGATTCCTTTTACACAATGCCACATGTCATCAAAATGTATCAGGAAGAGCTCAAAAGTAGTACAGTACTGTACTCTGAGAAGCCTGAAGATAACTGTTCATGGTTGTAACTGAATGCATCGAGCCTGAACAAAGTCTTCTCATTCCAAGCATAAAACAAGAAGGAAATGCACAAAAGCATCTCCTGATAAAACAAGCCAAGACCAGAAAGCTAGTAAACGTACTTGCCTGAAAGTTTGAACAATGTACTAATGAAAAAACTAACCATCTAAAGAGGCACGAATCTGAATTGTCCACGACGAAGGACAGGCACGTTATCAAATGCCCAAGTGGGCATCAACAGCACACAGCAATGATTTGCTTTTTTAAAAAGGCTGCCAAGCTTCAAAGACAACTAGAAAAATCTAGCCAAAAATCAAGATGTAGCTCTACCAAAGCAATTATATATGATGCAATGGTGAAGAGCATAAATTGCTGAGCCATGTAAAGAAATAAAAATAAGGAACATGGGAGCTGGCACACACCGAAATCAGGAGCCAGGGCTGAACTGGCCATAAGAAAGTAAGGTTGTCCCTGGATGAAACCAAAGCTGAAGGTGGCTAACAAATTTTATTAATGGAGAAATAAAAAATTGAGGGGTAAAGCTAAGCCATAGTGGCACCACCAAGGTGCCATTATAGGATGTAGTAACAGTCAGAATAAGCCACTTGACCAGACAAGGCCATAAGAAAAAAATAAGCAAAGGAACAAATAATGTACTTAGAGAGAGAGAGAGAGAGAGAGAGAGAGAGAGAGAGAGAGAGAGAGAGAGAGAGAGAGAGAGAGAGAGAGAGAGAGAGAGAGAGAGAGAGAGAGAGAGAGAGAGACCTATGAAAACATACTCCCCTATAGTACTGTGAATCAATTTGGCCAAGAAACAACACTAGGATCAGAAAACTGCCCAGGAAGCCATAAGATACAGACACCCAAAATCCTAAGCGAGGAGAAAGACAAGGAAAGGAACCAAGTTGGGACACCAAGGAGGGCCAAGAGAAGAATCTGGAACAGAGAAAACTGAACGTGACACCCATTGGTACATAGTCAATCCAAGATGATGCACAGCACCGTCCTCATGGAATGGGGATACACAGACTGGGGCGCGCACACACTTGTATGCACAAATTTGCATGCACAAATTTGCAGTTTCGTTCAAATTCCAACAGATCCACACTGAATACTAAAATCAAATGGTTACTAAAATAAGGTTTCTACCACCAACACAAGCCAAGATTCAAAAGAGGTCATCCAGTAATGCACACGACATGCAACAAATGGGAACAGAGGGGAGGACCAAATTATAAGAGGCCAGAAGAGAACCTATGTCCAGTGCCCAACACCACAATACTAGGGACATAGGAAAAAAAGAAGGCGAGATGGGAAGGAAGGCACCAGCAGAGAGCCAGCCAATGAAAGAAAACACAAAACTTGCAGAAATGCAGGAGAAAAAAAAAAAGTAACGAGTTTCCAAGATGCACTATAAAGCACCAGAACACAGTAAAATGCCATGAAAGCCTACTGCCCAGGAAGAGCACTACACAGTTCCAAGGTGCTGCTACACATTGCAAAGCAACAGGACATACTACCTGCAGCACAGTTTTGGAGGTTTGTAATGTGCTTCGCCCTTTTTGTCAAGCACCGAAATGAAAAACTGTCTGCAAGATAAATCTCGTGCCCTTCACCGAAGAAGATGAGGCCTGGGTGCAAAGGCAATCTCTCACCTCAACATATGGGTACACAGAACAGGGGTACACACATTGTTAGCACATGAAGAAAACCGTCGACTGTTTAAATAGTCTATTCTACTGTTGCCACACACAGTCTCCAGACCTCTATAATCAAGTCCACTCAGTTTTAACAGAGCAACACGCTTCACGAGGAATCCGAGTCCCAAACTGCCAAAGGTTATGAGGGCAGTACCTGGGTTTTTCTTCAAGATGATGGTAGAGTGGTGGTGGTCGAGGAGGTCACCAGAGACATACTTGTCATCCTGGGCCCACTGACCACCAAGCATGTTTAGATGAACTGGGGCCTTCCCTGAAATTCCATAAGGCTTGGGGACATTTGTTTGCATCACCTGAAAAGATAAAAAAAATTTAATTAAACCAGAATGAAAATACAGTTTTCTCTATGCAGGCGATGAGTCACAATAACGTGGCTAAAGTATGTTGACCAGACCACACAATAGAAGGTGAAGGGACGACGACGTTTCGGTCCGTCCTGGACCATTCTCAAGTCTATTGTGATGAGGGAAGGTGGTGAAGGAAACGTTTTAACAAACATGACCTAACGTAAGCTTACCCTTCCATTTATCTTTCTCTTTCCTTTTTCTGTCTCATGTTTTCTCTTACGATCCCTTTCTCATTCCTATTCCTATCCCCTTTATTACACATTACCTTTCATAACTTTTACCTTTCTTTTTCTTCACAGTTAAGTATCACTATACTTAACCATTTATACTTAATGTTTCACTCAAGTATAAATAATTACCCTTGGGCATTTCATATCACCAGTATGAAAACCTTAGTTTAATTGTATTTTTTATTTTCCTGAGCTTACATTTTGCCACTCAGAATATCTGTTACACTATGCTCTCAAAGGTCACAAGAATTGTGTAGCAAGCGATATGCAGTTCACCTGCTCATCATTCCATTACACCATATAGATAATGGATACCCACTATGTAGTTTTTATAACCTAAATTAGCATGGCTCATTAGCTAAACTAAAGTACAATAAATGTACATGAACATTTATGAATATTAAATTAAAAAAAATGTTAAACCAGTACCACCCAAATCTTTTGACTCGTCTGCATCCAAATAGGTCTTTTCCCAAAGGCATTTGCATATGCCTGGTTGTGGTGTACCAAAGTAATACAAGGATATTCACATTTAAGGAAATGAGGAGTGGTGCCCAATTTACCATGTAGTATTTATCCTTTAAATATTTTTGAATTTTAAATAACTTATTAAAAAACAAAAAAAAGCTTCACAGAGATGCCTTACTGCATCATTATGTTGTGTATAACTTTCTTAACTTTCCCAAAAATAAACTTTCAAACAAGGACTCTTAAAATATAAATACTTACTACATGGTTCAGTTCTATGTGGTGTCTAAGGAATGATTATTATATACAATAAGGATCTTACTTTAGGTATAAATCAAACTCACCGAAGACAAAGAAACTGTGATGCGTGCATCATAAACATCAACGTGAGAGTCAACAGGCAGTGTTCCACGGTTGTAGGCACTCTGTGACCCTTGGTTGCCCATGAACCCTGAGCTAAACAAGCTGCCCACTTGGTTCAACTGTGAAGAAACATCTCTGTTGCGACGAGGAGAGAAACGTGCCTGCAAAAGAGAAAGAAAATTACCAAATACCTGTACTTTTATTCAATTACAGCACAGCACAGTTCCTATGTTATTCATAAACCTATTTTTCCCCCCTCTCCTACAATTTATTGCTGAATAATAAAATTATCAGAAAGCATATACCTTTCCATATGGGAAAATTACCCTTGAACCTAGGGCTTTGACCTGCCTGGGCACAAAAATTGCAGTAGGCATTTTCTGTCCTCGTTAAATGCAAAGGAAATAAGTTTAAAACCATGAGAATGGAAGGTTAAAAGTTAAGAGAGAGAAAAATGTTCAATGTGCAAGGTTCATATGAGAATAAAAAGTGGAAGTATAAAAGCAGGAGTAAGAGAATTAGAGGAGTAAGGAGAGAGTTGGCTTTCTAATGAAAAAGTAACCTGAAGAATTAAATGGCAACTAATACTGTAGTTGTCAAACTAATACAAGCTTCATGGGCTTTGTAGGTATGTGAATGAAATTTTAGTGATTGGTCATTAGGTTTGCTCAAGTGAAAAACAAAGACTTTATGATACTTTGGAATGCTAGGCTTGCATTATACCAAAACGTTACAATAATTATTATTACTTTTGACATTTACTCTAGTTAAGTGGGACTAGGCCTCAAGTGACATGATTGGTATACAAATAAACAATGACTGTTGTACAGTAATTAAATGTTATATATTACAAAACAAATTTTCAGGCATTAGGAAATGCACAACAAGAATGGGGACAGACAGGAGGTACTAAATTACAGACCAGTGTCAATAACAAGTAAATATAAAGTGCTGGAGACTAATCGAGAAGAGAATAGTGAGCACCTGGAAAGACTAAACTTTTAGTAACAAAATGTCAGCATGAACTGAGGAGGAGGAAGTCATGCCTAGCAAACCTGATTGAATTTGAAATCTACCCAGGAAAGATGTAATCTGGGTAGAATGCATTTTCCTAAACTGTCAAAAGCATTCGATGTTGTTCCACACAAAAGACTGGCGTAAAAGATGGAAATGTCAGCTGGGGTAATTGGGAAGGCACTAAACAAAGTAAGGGAGTACCTGAAGGACAGAAGGCAAAACGTCAAGAGGCAAGGTCTCCAGCAGGAGAAATATAATAAGTAGGATCCCCCAAGGCTTGGTCCTGGGACCACTACTGTCCTTAACTTGTATTAATGAGCTACTCAAGAGTGTGTGTGCTCATATATGCTGCTATTTGCAGATTCTGTAAAGCTAATGAGGAATGTAATAATAGAGAACTGCAAAATGTTGCAGGACCTTTACAAACTCCAGGAGTGGGAAAACATACTGGTAGTTGATGGAGTTCAACCCACTAAGTGTAAGGTAATGAGGATGGGGAAAAGGAGAAAAGACCAGAAGATGTTTATAACCATAAATGGGAAGCAACTACAGGAATTCGAGTAAGATTTGAGAGAGAATATAATTTGAGTCCAACAATATCACCAGAGGCACACAAAGGTAGGGTGGCTTTGGTAGCATATGGGATGCTGGTGAACACTAGTAAGTAGCTTAGAAACCTAAATCAGGACTATTTCAAAGCAATCTACACAGCTTTTGCTGCTGGAATATGCAGCATTGGCCTGAAATACACACCTTGTCAAATAAAACTAAAATTTAAAAAGTGCCAAGGTTTGCAAAAGATTAGTTCCAGAGCCAAGATGCTTAAGCTAGAATATGTTGAAGGAGCTTTACCTCATAACCCAGGAGGACAAAAGAAACAGAGGAGATATGATCACAACATACAAGATACTGAAAGGAATAAACAAGGTGAACAATGATAGCCTCTTTAAAATGAGAAAAAATAGGACAAGGTAATTATGTAATTATCAGGAGAAAGTACCAAGCCTTTCTAACTATACATTAGAGGACAAGTTTAAGCTGGTAAACAAAAATAAAAAGTGCATGGAAATACTCATACAGGTTGTCAACAAGTGAAATGCACAGAGAGAAGATGAAGTGGAAGCCACCTCCATCCACAACTTTAACAGCAGATTCGACAAAGAATGCGATTGTCAGAATAGTTCAACTATAATGCAACAAGTACAGCACAACAAGGCTAGTAGGCAGGGCATCCCCTTTGTAGTCAGAGAGCCAAACACTGATAGGCAAGCACAAATGTACTTTATGTTGTGAAGTGATACACGGGTATAAAAAGGCCAATATGGTGTGTTCCTGTGCAAAGATGCATTTTAAATTACATACAGAACAACCCCAATTACCAAGTCAATCTGTACCTTCAAATGTTCAATGTGAAAATTGGGTGGTTACCGGGCATATTTTTATATATTCTCGATTCAATAAACTTCAATTCAAATTTCTTTCATTTAGAAATGTGCATTTTGGAGAAGAAATTCAGTAGGTGGATTATTTTATAAAGTTCTCAACAATATTATAAAATCATACATGGCTGAAAGAAACTAGCCAATCTTTTATACTATTAACTATTGTAATCCTTTTTATAGGGTAGTCTTTATAAATACAGTACTTCTCACATCTGTCGAGTTAATTGAATGACACCCTTAAATTCTCCCATGTCTTCAACATACTGTACCTTTTCCGACGCCTGAAGCTCCTCTACGTTTGCTGGCATGGGTATGTGTGATGGTTGAAAACTGGTCATTCCACTCGCTGCCTGGTGCATCTTTTGCTGTGGTGGTTGCTGCTGTTGCTGCTGCTGTTGTTCTGGTAAAGGAAATCTTCAATGTTACATCCCACTAGATGTATAGACACTCATTCTTTGCACAAACATTTATTATATGATGGGTATATGTTAGAAAATATAATGGATTGTCGTGGTCCCCTTAAAGCCATACTCGTTCAATTTTTGGCCAGACCCATTAAAGCTTAACCTGACTAATAAATGCTGCACACATCTAGAGCCTGGCCCCAGGCCTGGCTCGGGGAGTAGAAGAATTCCCGAAACCCTATCCAGGAACTTCTGCTAGAGCATGCTAGCAGAAGTTCCTCAAACCTTTCACTCTATTAAAGGTCTCTGCCCTTTTTTTTCCATAAACCTTTCCACTGTTCCCTTCTAAACAACTGTCGTCTGCCTACTGTATGATCCTTTACCATATTTCACCCTTATTTACCATTGGTAAATGATCCTAAGGTATTTTACCATGTTCTTACCACCACGGTGTATTGCACTTTTCACTTGCTCCACAATTCATCCCCCCCCCACACCATGTTATACTCTACTTCACTACCATAACCATGCCACATGCTTATACCAGCCAACTCTCAAAATCATAATTACCATAGCTTGTAGTCTTTAGCACTACCCCTATCCATAAGAAAGTTTAAATTCCATTTGTCACAACTGGGAGTAGAATATTACCCAACAACATTCCTACTTTCATTATATTCTTCACCTTTCATACCACTCTTCTATTCATTATACTCTTACTGTACCCACCATACTACTACTTTACAAATTGGCCCAAAAAATTTTAATCTTGCTACCTCGCCTAGTATGTCATCCTATATTTTTATCCTACAGTTCAAATAGCTTCTCGGCCAAACACATCCCCAGACTTCACAGTTGAACAGCAAAAGAACAAAGAACCGAGACAAACTAAAGGAGTTACACACAGGCCAGTACAGACAAAGTACTGTACAGACAAAGTTAAAAACAAGGATTGGGCAGGTGATCATGACAGTGGATGGAGGAGAGGATTCACCCAGTCAGGCAGACCTAACCCTATAGATTTGTCGACAAGCAGGCACAATAACTATAGTATGTATGGAATAATAGTATGCAGGAGCAATCTTACATGCCCCTAGGAACAATGTCAGGTGTTTAAACTGCTTCTACACAAATACCAGAAGCCTAGTAAATAAATTACACATTGTGTGCATACAGAGGCCGAGAATCCTGACTCTTTTAGGAAGTATTATCATAAACATATTAAGGTATTTAATACTCTGTCAAATAGTGTATGGCAGTGTCACCGAGTTAGTAAGGATTACCGTTTTGTTAGAATACAATAGGTTGGCGAAATTGCATAGGAGTGCCTCTCCAAGTTAGTAAGGGGGAGTGACTCCACCAGTGGAGTGGTTAGTTGTGAGAGATAGGATGTGTCAGCTGCTGAAGTTAAGTAGATTGTTTTGCTGGGCGTTATAAATCTGACAATTTTAGGTCTGGTATACAGTGATTAATTTATTACAATTTATGTTATCTGTGATCAAGTGCTGGTTCAAGTTTTCTTTATTTTATTATGTTATTTGTTTGTCCATTTCATGCAGTATATTGACGGGCCACCTCTTTTAATGAGGGAGACACCTCCCGTCACGCAGGGTGCAGTCGTACCTCCACAGATCTCCAGTATCATCTATTGATACTGGTAATGGCTCAAAAGAGCCACCACTTACGGGCTATTCATGCCCGTGCCACCTTTTGGGTGGCTTAATCAATCAATCTTTAATGAACAAGTGTTCAATTCATTTTACTGCTAGCAGTTGGGAGAAAAAGGCCAGCAAGAAGTTTAGAAGCTGTTATCAGGTTCACAAGGATTACAGAATGTGAATGTTAACTGTTTTACAGCAAGGGTAGACCTTGAAGTCTTCCAGGGATGAACATCCCTTGGAGACATGATGATTAAAATACTGAACAATTTGAAGGATGTTGATCTGCAAATTTGTTTTTTCCGAAAGGTCAGTTGTAAGGAACAAGGGTTACAAGCTCAACAAGCCACAATGTAAGACCGAGAACGGGAGATGCTTTTTCACCAGCAGGGTTATTAAGGCATGGAACCACCTACCCACCAAAGCCATAAATGCCAAAACTCCAAAAAATGTTAACTTTTAAAGTACAAATGAAAAAGATAGACAAATGGGGAGAGGACCTTGAACAAGCCGCCGGCTTCCTGTCCTTGTCGAGTCCATTAGTGTTAGTGGCTCTCCGGCAAACAGGTAAACACTTCTCTTGCACACATTGAGATTATAATGCTACTGAATAATTTTAAGATCACAACTTGGAACATTTACTACAGCAATTTTCAGCAACATATATAATTCATATACAGTAATTTGTATTTTTATTAACATTTAAAAAAAAAATCAGGTACATGCTTTCTAATTTTTACAAAGTCGTGCATGTTCCTTTTACATTCTACCTTTTATGTGCTTGCAGAAAAATTAATTCTTAAATTAATTTATATAATTCAATATCAACAAATTATATTGAAGCCTCACAAAGAGGCCTACACGATCTCTACACATGATCAGAAGACTGGCAAATGCTCTTTAATATAGACAAATGCAGGACCTTACATGTGGGAATAATAATGCTCATCTTGACAACCAAATTAACATTACCTTGCAGCAGATCGATAAAAAGCACCTTTGAGTCAGGACCCATGATTCACTGAAAGTTAAATGATGGATTCAACTATCAATCTTCCCGGCCCTGACTCCGGGACACCAAGAGGAAGGGCCGGGAAGTCAACCAAAATAAGTTTAGTTTGTTGAAACGTGTGTACGATCTGACCATTTCCTTCACCTTGCTTGCTTCCTCTCAAGAACATTAATATAGTGTACAGCCATAATTCAGACTAAACTATTTAGACTCATTAGAACAATCTGCACCTAAACAATCCACTCTTCTACCACACAATGTTTATCATACAGAGTAATGTGAAATAACTCGTGACCATCCGGTCCCCAAGGTTGGTCAGGGTCACCTTCTCTTGTTGTCAGGCTGGTGTTAACCGACCCTTGGATGACCTCATTGTGTCCCCCTTGCACGATATAACGCAAAATGACACAGCTATACATACACAACTTACAGAAGGACGAACAGGTAAGTTATAACAGATAACAACACGGTGATATAAGAGGTTCTTACCTGCAGAGAGTGTGTGCTTGTGTCTGGCTCCTGCTGACACCACGCGCCCGGCCCTCACACCTACCACCATCACTGACATCTTCTAACACTCACAACTGTGAGTGTTGGAAAGAGAGGACTTGCACTGTTGGCTAGTAGAGTATTACTGGTGCAGCGTAAACCTTCCCTCGGGGCGGCTCAGTGTGTTGTGGTTGACAAGTGTCTGGTGGCCCGCCTTTTAAACACGCCAGGTTGCCAGAGTCAAGTTGCTGAAAGTGATTGATTGATGAAGATTAAGCCACCCAAAAGGTGGCACGGGCATGAATAGCCCGTAAGTGGTGGCCCTTTTAAGCCATTACCAGTATCAAGAGCTGATACTGGAGATCTGTGGAGGTGCGAATGCACCCTGCATGACGGGAGATGTCTCCCTTATGAATGTGTTGCTGAAAGTAGAGAGCTGACGCTCTAAAAGTAGCGAATTTGTATCATAAGAGTAGCCCAATTTTTTGTTTAGTGATTGATACGGGTTTTAAAGTAATCTATTTTGATATATAGAGTACATCAAAGATTTTAATTGTTTTATTAATATTTTCTCTGCACATATATATATACACCCATTATGCTTCACTAAACTGAGAAATAAACTGAAATATATAGTTAATATATTTAACCAATATGATAATAGGATAACTTACCAATATTTACTGTTTGAAGCCTAATGGGTGTGGAGTCCTTCCACGTCTTTACAGTTGAAGATTATCAAGATCTTGATCTGCATCCACAACCTCGTTCTTGTATATTGCAGACATATTTAAGAATTGACATGAGTGATTCAAATGACGAGCAACAAGTTACATTTTCTTCAAGATATGTTTTGATTCTCAAGATTGATGTCAAAGATTGATGTCAAGATTGATGTCAAAGATTGATGTCAAGATTGATGTCAAAGATTGATGTCAAGATTGATGTCAAAAGCTCAAGTCCCATTCGATTTCTCAGTTTAGTTTTCACAGACGTTACTCTTGAAAATATCCGTTCAACCAGGGCATTACTGATTTGCAAGCTGTATATTTTCAATGCAAACTCAGCGAGTTCAATCAGTATGGGATCGCCAGCAGCGTTCTTGACAGTTATTGTCTTGGTCTAAAATGACGCTCCAGATGTTGGAATTTGTCCCTCACAAATGTTGGACCAGTCAATGGTTAACAGTAGGCGCCACTGACTTTCAATTTCACTAAGCTTAGATTGGTCAGCTAATACTTATGGAAGTTCTGAAAATGGTGGCCGTGTGTGGCTAAGGCATATGATAGGTAACAGATTTTTCACCCTTTTTAAAGTTTCAACATTACTTAGAATACGAGAAAGAAACTATTTGCAAGCTTTCATTAAAAAATTATCGCATCTTTCTTTAATATTTTGAAACTTTTCCTGGGTTATAAAATTGTTTTGTCTGTTAGTGACCCGAAGTGTTGAAAATTCGTAACCAAAGTCAACTTTTTCCAGGGGCAGATACATAGAATTGTAGTCCAAATTAGCATGAAGCTTTGCATGATGAGGATGAACGATTCTTCTGAAATTGAAATTGAAATAAGTTTATTGAGGTAAAATACACACAAAGGGATGAGGTAGCTCAAGCTATTCTCACCCCGTCCAGTACATCGTGTTAATACATACGGTACGGTACGGTAATACGGTACCCCTACTCAAATCTCTGAATATGTTAGACATTAAGCCACTGCACATTCTCTCATGTGTATTATACATATATAAAACACTAAACTATATTGCCAATCCTGATCTCAAAAGCTTCATAGAAGGTTGTAACAGAACCCATGAGCACCACACCAGAAATAAATACAGTTTTGATATTCCTAGAGTACGACTTAATCAAACTAGAAATGCTCTACAAATCAAGGGGCCCAGAATGTGGAATGACCTTCCCAACCATGTTAAAGACTGTTCCTCTCTCAACCAGTTTACGATAAAAACGAAGCTATACCTAATAAATTCCCTGTAACCTACCTTACCCCTCTATTGTCAACCAATGTCTGGTTTTTTTTAAAGAGCGCTGTTTGTCGACATAATTGTATTTGTGCTGCTTTTTCAGCTATGTTTTCATTTCTTGTTTTCATTCTACTCATTATGCTCAATTAGTATTAAGCTTGTCATTTAAGTTTATCATGCCCGAAACGCTTTGCGTAATAGTGGCTTTAGGCATTGTATGTACGAGCTCTACCTATAAGTCAACCAATCTTTGTAAAAATTTATTGTATGTATGTACCTTACCTAAATAAACATTTTATTTTATTTTATTTTATTTTATTTTATTTTATTTTTATTTTTACATAAACACACAACTGAGTATTCCAAGAGTGAAGTTTTCTAAGACAGTGTGAAGGCTACACTGATCTGCTTCATCTTTTTTATAAAGTCAGTTTATCCTTTCAAATCCAATCATTCAGTTCATCCAATCATTTAGGATTGGTTTGAGACATGTGAAATATAGCTTATTGGAGGGATCAGCGTACATTGAAAATAGTTGCCTTGCAACATATTTATTACAAGAGGAAAAAGCTATTTGGAAATAAGTTGTTAAAGAATCCCTCTAATCTAACAGCCGCTTTACACTACCGCTCCTTGCCAACCATCGTCTTCCTGACAAAGGTATTAACGGGTCCGTCTAATTACCACAAGCTACACAAGCTTCACAAAGCTTCAGAAAGCTTCCTGGCAATACGTTAGTAATGAATAAATATGATATGTTAGGTTACGCTGACCTAACCTAAACTAACCTAACCTAACTTAAACAAACATAATTTTCAAACATAATAAACAAACATAATCTGCCCGAAACGCTTTGCGTAATAGTGGCTTTAGGCATTGTATGTACTAGCTCTATCTATAAAGCCAACAAACTTTGTAAAATCTCTTTATGTATGTACCTTTACCTAAATAAAAATTATTATAAATAAACAAAAAAAAAAAAAAGAAACCTAACCAACGCTTGGATCGTCGACTTTATTTGGCGTCACCAGCTCTTTATTTTCGTCTAATTTATTAATAAAAATATACTTTTTCAGATTAAAATTATGTTTTCTCATGTTGTACATTCAGCACCAACATTATAATGAGTAAATATATCATATTTATTCATTACTAACATAAGCTTTCTGAAGCTTTGTGAAGCTTGTGTAGCTTGTGGTAATTAGACGGACTGGTATTAACTGTAAGGGATCTTTCCCATCATTTATCAATCTGTAAATTTCTAGATAACCTTCTCCCCTTAATGAAGATCTGTGGAACCAGGTGTAGCTTTTGGGATGAAGTATTAATAACAATTAAGGTTGGGAAATCTATGGCCCGTGGGGAGGATTACCTTGCCTTGCAGTTACTTTTTCTTTCGAAGGTTCCTAGGATCAATATCCCCAGGGGGCCGGTCTGGGACCAGTCGGGTAAGTCAATCAGGCTGTTGGACGCGGCTGTGATTTGTACACATTATATTATTAAAGCATAAATAATCGTCATTGAGAGTCTTAATATTAATAGTCCAAAGTAGCCCAACTTGCTTTTATACTAGCCCAAAAACTCTCAAGTAGCGAAATTAAAATTTTGGAAGCGCGGGGCTCTCAAAAGTAGCCCAATTCGCTACTTGTAGCCCAATCTGGCAACCCTGCGGCCAATACATTTGCCATATACTCTCACTAAACCATTACTAATCTTCTTTTAATGTTTAATCTTCATCTCATCCTCCGCAAAACTTAAGACCTACACAGTGGTATTCTAACCATAATTAATAATAATAACAATAATATACTTATCAAGGGGATTAAAGCTTAAATGAGTTTGTCCAAATACAATTGGGCACTCGACGCCAGTGGGATCGTGACGTCATTACCCTCATGGCCAATTCTTGGCCCTAGTAACCCACTAAATGGGTTTATAGACTAAAATGTTAATCTAAACACAGTACCCCTCGTGTATGCTAATTTGACCCTCAAGTATGGTGATTTGACCCCCACGCGTAGGTTGAATTAGGTTTCTCGACTTATACCTATAGTTTTTTTTAAGTTTAGTTCATTTATTATGCACCCCATACCCTTCTTGTGGGCGGTAGTGGAAAGGGTTACAGAGGCACATAATGGGATAAAGACTGATGAAGATTAAGCCACCCAAGAGGTGGCACGGGCATGAATAGCCCGTAACTATGGAAAAGTGATTGATTGATGAAGATTAAGCCACCTAAAAGGTGGCACGAGCATGAATAACCCGTAAGTGGTGGCCCTTTTGAGCCATTACCAGTATCAACTCTTGATACTGGAGATCTGTGGAGGATAGAGAAGTGTGGTCTAATTCTTTATATCCCCGTCTACTAGCATTGTTGAGTTGCTTTACTCGTTGCGTGTAATGATGTCGCACAACGTGGCCCTTGTTGTGACCCAAATTTTAGATGTGAATAATTTCTCAGAGTACGATTGATTGATTGATTGATAAAGATTAAGCCACCCAAGAGGTGGCACGGGCATGAATAGCCCGTAAGTGGTACAATTTTTTTTTTTTTCCCAGTGTTCTGAGGTTGCATTTAACCATCAAGCTGTTATCGTGGGGGAGGATACTGCTTCACAGTCTTTATGAGGGTGTCCAGCTGCTGGACACCTTTGTTGACCAGGAGAGTGGCTGTGTTGATGGCTTCAGGGTGGCCACTGCATGATTCAGGAACTCTTAAAGCTCTTCTAAGGTCATTGGTTGCTTCACATTCCAGAAGATAGTGAAGTAATGGCTTTTCTGTGACAGTTTGGCAGAAGATGCACTCTCTCTGTCGGGGTTCACCAATCTCCCAGTTGCATCTGTAACCTAGACGTAGTCTATATAACCTAACTGCTATTTCCCTGTGGATTCCTTCTGGGATATTTAACCTTTCTAATTTGGTTGCCTGAAGATACCATATTGCAGATGGCGACCCTTCAGCTATTCTCTGGTGTAGGTAGGCTTTGTTGAGATGTGAGAGTTTTTTGGTGATGATGTTTTTTATGTTCTCTAGGCTGGGTTGAATTGTTTTATGTATCACTGGATGACGAGTTGCCAATTTAGCAATTTCATCAGCTTTTTCATTTAATGGGA